TGACACGGGCCTGGCCAGCCATTGGTTCAGAAATGTGCACATGACCCCCTTTAACCAGTGGGGACAGACCTGATTTCTTCTGTGGGAACAAGTAAAAAAGGTGAGCTGCTCCTTGCCTCAGTGTTGGGTGTGAAAACGCGTGCCCCCTGCAGTGGGGCCGGTGTCTCCTGTCAGCCACTCTGGTGGGTGTGACAGTCGGCGTTCTAAGTGGATCCATTCTTCCTCAAACTCAGACAGCGAACCAGTAGCCTCATGGATGGGACTTAGAGCAGGAAAAGCAGAGACTGCCACATCCGAGCAACCTTCTTCACCCAAACACCTACGCAGAGTAGGAGATTGCAGAGGAGGGGATACAGACAAGAGACAGGGCCGGGGGTGTGGCTGGCAGGATGAGCGCCACCAAGTGTCCTTGTCCTAGTCCCCAGAACACGTGACTGTCACCTTACGTGGCTGAAGGGACTTTGCAGATGTCACCGGATTTTTAGATGGGTGGCTCCAGTGTCATCACAAGGGTCCCTGTGAGGAGGAGGAGGAGGGGGGCCAGGGTCAGAGAGGTGATGTGACCGTGGGCCTGACACGTGGAGCAAGGGGCCGTGAGACTAGAAAGAGGGTGGCTCTGGAAGCCAGAAGAGGCCAGGGGACACGCCCTCCCTGGCGTCTGCAGAGGTCATGCCACCCAGTCACACCTCAGCTGTGGCCCCGTGAGCATCATCCTGACCTCCAGAACTGGGCTTTCAGGTTAATGGTGCTGATTACAACAGCAGCGACAAGCCACTAAGTCAGGGGAACTTGGGAAGAGAAAGCAAGACCTGCGGGTCCCATGGCGAGGACGGGATCAGCAGCCTGTGCCCCCACTCCTCTCAAGGGGGGCAGAGCCCCGGCCCAGTGTCCAGTGGTAGGTGGGCCTCATGAGGGCACCATGCAGCGGCCACTGCCGGTCTATCAGACGTGGCGTCCAGCTGCTCCCCTGTTCAGTGCACAGCCAGCTTGGCTCTGTGGGGACACTCACTGCACCCAGAGAGGGGCAAGGAGATGAAGGTGGCCTGGGCACCTGCTGGGCAGCTCAGGGAGAACTGCCCCCCACCTGGTGTGCACCTGCGCCGGTAGCCGCGGTCTGTTCCCTTTACCGGGACAGACGTGAGCCCCAGCCCACTGCAAGTCAGAGGCTTGGGGACGTAGAGGTGGTACCAGTAAGGTGGGCCCGCTGGGCGCTCAGCTGGCCTTGTCCATCACTGCATTTCCAAGAAAGACAATCCTGTGGAGCCTTGTCAACAAGCAGCAATGATGGAGGCCACCAGCCTGTCCCTCGAGGGTGAGCCCTGTCACCGCACGGCTGTGTCCAGGGCTGGGTGGGTGCAGGCTGGCCGCCTGATATGTGAGAGTGAGCACCACACCACAGGGCCCAGATCACACATGAACTCACACACTTTTTGTTCTAACTAGAAGCTGTGTGACACAGCCAGACAGCGACTCTGCAGTGTCGCCTTCCCATCTAGCCATGTTTAGCAGGCCCAGTGTTTTAATATGCATCTCACCTCGATTCGATTTCATGGACAAGTGGTTCTCTCACAAAGCAGAAGAAATAAAGAAGCGTGTGCCCCCTTCTTCCCAGCATGCACCTTTCCCAGCAAGGGGCAGTCCCTGCAGTGTGGGAGGCCAGCCCGGGTGCCGTCTCCCGTCCCTGAGGATGTTGACATGCTGGTCACACACTCCAGGGCCCTCGCCAGACACTCTCAGTGATGTGTCCCGACAGTGAGCATATGGACGCGACACCAGTGGGTCCCTGCCACTGCCACCTCCCCACGAGCAGGGAAACCAGCCACTGGCCAGACAGGCTCTTCTGGACAATATGGGAGGCGTGGGGTCCACAGGAAGTAAGTTCGGGGACAAAGGAGGAAGAGCATGTGAGGAGCAGCATTACCATTCTGTCCCAGGACGGGAGGGCGACCAGTCCTCACACAGCAGAGGACTGAAAGCCCCATCTGAAAACTCAGAAGGAACAGTCTAAGCATCAGTAAACACGACGTGATAAACCCACTGACACACACTCACAGGTCTCACCCGTGCAGTCGAGACCCCCGCATCATCCTGCCTGACGCGCTGAGGCTCCACCAAGGCCTGTCCCGCCCGTGTGGCTCCCAAGTCCAAGGTTTAGGCCACTATTGTTCTGCCACCCTCTTCCCACACCCGAGTGAAGGCAGTGGTGTTCCCATTTTTAAGATGAGGAAACTGAGGCTCAGGAAGTCTACAGGGGTCAATGCAGGGGGGGGGGCATGGGTCACTGCCAGAGCTGCTGGGCAGCTCCGTCCTCTGCACGCAGTTACCTGGCTGGCTGGGTCTCCATCACCCGTGTGTACTGTGGAAATGGAGCCACCCGGGAAGCAGGACCCGAGGAGCTAGGCCTCAGCGGCGCCTGCCGCCAGCTCTCTGCCACGGCTGCCGACACCGCTCTTCTTAGTCCAGGCTGGGCGGGCAGCCGCCTGTGCTGAGTGTGCCACCTGCAGTCACAGACCTCCCTGCTCCGACCTGGGCACTTCCCTACGAGGCCATCACCAGCCCCCGGGCTTCCGCCTCCAGGAGTGTGGCCCACGGGGCAGGCTGGCGGGGGCCCGCGTCACTGAGGGCGGGCTGGGAGGCCCTCCTCACTGGGACCTGGGGACAGCCCCTTTGTCTCTCACTTCAGGCCCGGTGTGGTGACAGCACCCCACTGCCACTGGTGCCGGTGGCTTCCTTCACACGTCGTAAACTGTTCTTTATTAAACGGCATCGTGTTCCCCAAACTGAATGTTCCATCAGCCTCCAGCTGAGACGCGACTGCTGCAGACGGTTTTCTGTCACAACCAATAATCCCAGTTATTTTAGGAAAGTGAACTTTCAAGTGCCCTCTCTATGGCTGGCACCGCGTTAAAGTCCGTTCACTTGTCAGGAGCCCCCAGCTCGTCACGCAGGCCCCGTAACAAGTCTCGGTGAGCACTCTGGCCCCGTGGCTTAGCACCTGCCCACACGCGTTGCCTTTGTCCTCCATTCACAGGCAACTTTCTCCACCCCCAGCACCTTCCGTGACGCGTCCCAGTCCTTCCTAAGACACTGCTCAACAGCCACCTCCTCCTTGGAGCCCTCCTGGCCACTCACACAAGCAGAGCACGTCTTCCCCTCATGGATGAGTCACCTTGGTCCTTCTCCAGGCAGAGAGCCTAGCAAACCAAGAAGCAGTTTCCTGCTGACGAGGCTCCCTCCACACGCAAGTGGGGCCAGTCAGGGGTGCACGAGGCCCTCTCTCCCTCCCCGAAGCTCAGCCCAGGGTCCGGCAGGTGGCCAGCCTTTGAGGTGGGAGGGAGGGAAGGCTCACGTTACCGACGGGGCCCAGACTTAACACTAAATTATGGCCTGATGTGCACAAGGGGCTGGCAGGGTCCCCGGGAACCACCAACTTGTAGGGAGATGAGGCCATGTCCAGACCTCCACTGAATCGAATCTTCTCAGTGCCCATTCTGCACCAACAGGTTATTCCAGCAGACTGGCCAGCGGAGCTGTGGGCACTGTTTTCTCTCAGAGCCTGCCCCAGAGAGAAAGTCATCCCCCAGAGAGCCCCAATCCTGGCCCAGCCACACTGACCCCAGCCTGCCCTTTGAGCCACCAGGAGAGGCCCTAGGAAGGGACACGCCCTCCGTCTATCCTCTGTCCTCCACCTGCAGAGGCCACAGCTCCCTCCCACTCCCCAACGCCAAGCCCCCCCACTGACTGTGACACTCGGTTTGCCAGCGCAGGCAGGGCGGCCGTTGATCAATATTCCCCAAAACAGGCCTCTTCCTAGTGATAGATGCGCTCGTGGAGAGGAGGCCAGATTAACCTTTCAGCACGGGTGGCAGGCGGCAACCGGGAAAAAGATGGCTCAATTCTTTGGGG